ATAAATTAATTATTTATTGTTAGAAATTATATTAATTTAAATAGACTCAAATAATTTTACATGCAGTATTTTGCGTTTTTTGTTGAATTTTAATTTACATTTTGAACACACTTATCGATATCATTTATCTCATGGACAGATCGTTATTTTGAATTTCTAATCTTTTGCCCAATAAACTTCATCTCACGTGTAAATTGTCAAATTTTTATCTATTGACCGATGAATTCCGATCGTTGGAATCGTTTTATTGTTTTATTAAAATCCATGGATGAGCACTGAATTATCGGTTAAAAGGTCAAAGTAAAGTTTCTCAACTGGAAGAGACAATCATTTATCTCGATGATAATTGTGCTTGGCAATACAAAATATCGAGTCATCGATTATATTCGAACTGCGTGAATTCCCCGTATGTACGTAACAGCAGACGTTTCAACACTCAGAAACAGAGTAATTTCATAAATGATCTCAAGTATTTCACGCTCCGTTAACCAAGATAATAGGCTCACTTTTAATTACCGTTTAATGTACTATTACCGTCTTTCTTGACACTTACTCCGGTCGCGTAACTTTTTTCATTTATGGATGGTTGAACCCGTAAGAGACGAATTCTGTGACGTTGTCGGCAAGACTCCAGACCAGTTTTCCCTTATATTTTCTACCCCAAGGCTAATAGATTTAAAGTCGACGCATTTCTCAGAAAATTTGCATGCTCAAATTAAATGAGGACTGGTAAACACGTCTTTTTTCAAAACACACAGTTAGAAATTGTCTTGCAAATTTCTATTGCAATTTTATTGTTTTTCTCATATTTTGTATACAAATATAATGATTGTTTTTTCCACAACATTTTATCTTAGTAAAAAGCATGATTATCAAAAATTATAATTATTAATATTTTCGAAAATATTCAAATTGTGAAAGTAAACAATATTAATTGATATCTTTGAATAATAGTAATTAATGTCATCCTTTTATAGAATATCATTTTGTAACATTAATTTCTAATGCTAGAACACAATTTCAGAATATTTATCGTATATTTATTACTTTAATTTAAAAAAGAAAAAATATAGTGATTGTTTCTTGAAAAATTCTATAATTTTCCATTTCGTGAATATTTTATAAAAGTTTAAATAGGAAAATATACATCTACTTTATAAACAAACTTGTTTATCGTATCGTATATGCTATCGATTTAATAACGCGCGATAACGTTTAATGAAATTAGTGCACGGATGACTGGGTTTATTCGAGTGAAATATAACCGTAATTATATAATATTATATTATATCTATTAAATTTTCTAGAAAGACTAGCTTCATATATCATATAAATATGACTATTATATTCAGATTAGATTACATTTAATTGCGATTTAGGATTAGGATATTTATATATCACGTATGTACAGACGGGAGAATTGTCCATTCATAGAAATTCTTTTGACATTAACGCGCTAAATTTATAAATTATCGCTGTGATCGCAGTGAGGAGCCGCGTTCTCTTTTTCCTCGCCACTTATTTATGCGTTCGAGTTTCGAGAGGCGCGATTTTATTGGCTTGTAAATAACGGATATTATGCGCGGCGGCGCATTTAAGGACTCCATCGGACGTTATTTAGAGCTTAAAGGGAACGGCACGAGGTGGATGCCGGTACGACAAAATATTGTGATTACGATTCCAATGAAACGTATCGGAGAGGATAAAAAAAACTCGCGAGTCTTTCTTGTTTTCTTCCGTCACTCGTTTTCTTTAGTCACGAATTTTACGGAAACTTCGTGCTAATACGTTGCTGTCGGTAATTAGCAGCCGACTCATCCCATTACTTTTACCCGCAATTTACTTCAACCTTCTTCAGCGTGAATAAATGTGCTAATTTATTTTATTTACGTTACTGTCAATACTCATTCGGTATACAGAACAGGTGTACAGAATACGGTATACAGAATGATATACAGATCAAATAAGATATATTTTCAGGAAAAAATAGGATTTCCAGATTTGTCGAAAATATTTTTCTATAAAACAAAATTTTTGTAACAATTCAATATTTTTGTTTGAGATTAAATTTCCTTAAAATATATGTTAAAAAATATTTGTAGTAAAAGAAGATGAACAATATATGTCTAGATATTCAACTTATATTATAGTACTTCAAGTGAGTATTGGAACTTTATCCTTTGCCTTTGATAAGTTTACTTGAGAATGCGAGAGAGCACGTAACATTGAAATGTGTTTCGAATGTTGCAAGGTTTAAAAATGACTATTTATAGTAGTAGATCGTGAAAAATTCCTTTCCGTGTGAGAATATCGTAAAATATATTATTTTTATAAGCAGTTGAATAAATTCGTAAGATAATGCTCGAATGGAAGTAATATATTAATATTTATTTAGATACTTTAGATATTCATTAATTTTTTGAAGCCATTTATTAGTATCAGTTCTTTTAAAAGACAAAAAAAAAATAGACAAAAGAATGCACGACGATATTGCGTTACTAATAATTTAAGTAAATATATCATTGCATATTATTAATTAATGGGGAGTATTATTTCATGCCATATTACAGAGATAATATATGAAGAAAATTGTCTTCATCAACGGTATATTTCTCAATCTTACTTTAGCATGGTGAATACAAAGAAGTAAAATACTCACGCGTTAGAGGCGACGACGGGCAAAAGCGAGACAAGTCGTTCGCGAAAGGAGCGTGTAACGATTCGCGTGGCTTTATAGTTCTTGCGATCGTAAATAGCGGGCAGGCGACATCCATGAGGTAATCTCCGCGTTGTATCGAGTACCGTAGAGAAACGTTTACACACTTCTGGGAGGCTAGTAACGGTGCGCATGTTCACTCGTGATCGGATGATTAATTTACGTGGTTGTTTTTCACCGCATATTAAACGTGCGCCGCGGTCAACAGCGCCGATGCGCTTAATGATCGATAAACCCTGATTGTACATCACTTATATTCAGGTATGACTTATAAATCGCAATTTGCATGATTCTTTCGTGTTTCTTTTTTTTGCCAGTGATTTTTGCAGATAACTTGACTTCGTGCCATCTCTCGTAATATTAAAAAACAAATGTTAAATTATTTTAAATATTGATTCTTACTTATGATATTATTAGCGTCGCCATCAGTATAAATACGTAAAAGAGATTTTTATCAATTTTAAATAGATAAAGAAGTAACAGAAGTCTATAGAATATAATATTGAATAGTGTGTGTGCGTTTTTATTGTTCTTCTTATATTTTATATTAAATGAAGAGAGTTCATCTGCTAAGGTATATATGTACATGTGATAAAAGTTAATTACAAATATTGAAAAAATTTTATAGTGGTGAACGCGATATCTAACGTTGTATAAAATTCTT